TCTTCTCTTTTTTTAGTAAATGTCTACAGGAGAAAGGGTTACTAGTCCATTGCTCCCGGCATTTTAGTCGCCTCATACGACACGCATGGCTTACGGAGGAAAGATTCTTTTCCACTTCCCCATGGACAATAGAAGAAATAAAGAAGAACAAGAGCTATTTAGAAAAAGGAGAAAAACCTAGATGTTTGTATGTATATATGCATGTGCGTGTCTGTGAAGTGTGACCAAAGTGTAAGTAGGAGTAGCAAGATATCCCTGTTATGTAGCGTGTTTATGAGACAGAAAAAGAAACCACCAAACATCTTAATCTGAATCTTATTTCAGTACCTAATATTAGTGTCAGAACAAAGATTGGCTATGAAATCACAAGAACTACTTAAATTGTTATTATCAGAACATAACACGATGGAACTCCAGTTTTCGTATTGTCCACATATCGTACAATCTGGATTTAGAACACTTTTTTGGGCAAAATTTTGGTCTGGTTTTTATACGTCCATCCGAAAATTGTACATATCAGATGCGTCCACCTGCCCGGGATGCAGTCAGACTGGCTCTGTCACTGGGTGACTGAGCATTCGTCTGAAACATTTCGCAATTTTTGTGCTTGTTTATTGATTGCGACTGCAAAATAAGCCACCATGGGCTCAAAGAAAGTTCATAGTGCCAGCCCTATGGTAAAGAAGGTAGAAGGTGAGAAACACAATAGAATTCAAGAAAGAGATTGTAGAAAAATACGAAAGTGGCGTACGTTTAGCTGAGCTTACCAGGATGTATGGGAAGTCGAAATCAACAATGTGTTCCATCTTGGCAAAGAAAGTAGAAATTAAGGAAGCTAAAGTTGCGAAGGTGGTAAATGTGCTAATGAAACAGATCACAAACAATTGAAGATGTGGAGAAGTTGTTGATGAGGATCAACCAGAAACAGTTAGTGGGAGATAGTGTTGTGGAGTCGATCATTTGCGAAAAGGTAAGGCAGTTGCATGCAGATCTCGTAAAGAAAATGCCTGGAACGAGTGCTGCTGTTAGTGAATTTAAGGCCAGCAAAGGCTGGTTCAACAGATTCAAGAAGTGTAGTGGCATACACAGTATTATAAGGCATGGTGAGGCTGCAAGTTCAGACAAACGTGCAGCTGAAGAATTCGTTGATGAATTCAAGGAGTACATAGAGGCTGAACTATTCATCCCCCAACAAGTATTCAGTTGTGATGAAACAGGCCTCTTTTGGAAGAAAATGCCAAAGAGGACCTACATCACTCAGGAGGAAAAGGCCTATGAAGGATAGGCTAACTCTTTCGTTCTGTGGTAATGCTAGTGGAGATTTCAAAGTGAAACCTTTACTAGTGTATCACTCTGAAAATCCCAGTGTGTTCAAGAAAAACAGTGTTGTCAAGACTAAATTGTGTGTGATGTGGAAAGCTAATAATAAGGCATGGGTCAAGAGGCAAATTTTCATTGACTGGGTCCATGAAGTGTTTGGCCCGAGTGTGAAAAAAATACCTCCTGGAAAATAACTTGCCACTTAAGTGCCTCCTGGTACTGGACAATGCTCCTGCTCATCCTCCAGACTTGGAAGACCAATTGTTTAGGGACTTCAGTTTTATAACAGTGAAGTTCTTGCCTCCTAACACGACTCCTGTCATCCAGCCCATGGACCAGCAGGTCCTTTCTAATGTCTCAAAACTCTACATGAAAGCACTGTTTCAAAGGTGCTTTGAAGTGACCTCGGACACTGATTGACCCTAAGAGAGTTCTGGAGAGATCACTTCAGTATCAGGAAGTGACTTCCAGGACTTTGAACTCTGCTTGGAGAAAATTGTGGCCAGGTTGTGTCCAAGAGAGGGACTTTGAAGGGTTTGAGGCTGACCCTGTCGACCGTACGCTTGTTTCAGAATGTATTGTGTATTTAGGGAAGTCCATGCGGTTGGATGTGAGTGGCTGGGATGTGGAAGAGTTGGTGGAGGACCATAGGGAAGAGCTAACCACTGAAGAGCTACAAGACTTTCATCTGGAACAGCAACAGACCACAGCTGAGGAAATTGCTTCAGAGGAGAAGAGAGAGGGGAGAAGGTGCCTTCTTCAGTGATTAAGGACATTTGTGAAAAGTAGAATGAGCTGCAAACTTTTGTTGAAAAATATCACCCTGACAAAGTTGATACAAGTTGTATCTGCAACATGTTCAGTGACAATACCTTGTCCCATTGTAGGCAAATCTTAGAGAGATGCTAGAAACAGAGCTATCTGGACAAATTTTTAGTGTGACAGGGGTCCAGTGCCAGTAGAAAACAAAGAACGGAAGTAACCCCAGAGAGGGCTTTGATTCCTGAAGTCCTTATGGGGGGATTCCCCTTCCAAACAATAACCTCATCTCTGTCTCCCCTCCTCGCTTTCTTCAATATGCCAACAGGAGTCTTCAATAAAGGTGTGTAATTTTCATTTATCATTAAAATTAGTCATTTATATTTATTTCTCATTGTTTTATGTATGTAAAACTATAGTTATTCTTTAAAAAATGTATTTTTTGTTAATATTTTTGGGTGTCTGGAACGGATTAATTGTATTTATATTATTTATGGGAAATATTAATTCGTTTTTCATACATTTCGGAATTTGACTGACCTTCTGGAGTGGATTAAGTATGAAAACTGGAGTTCTACTGTAATTATATAAATTAAAATAAAAACGAGAAAAAACTACATATTGGCAACACTTCTGCAAGCGGCAGGACTTTATGTTGCTGTCAAGTGAGCATCCAGTGCCAACTTCACGGTCTTATATCTTGGTAAGTACTGATCCTAAATTTTTTTGTTTTGGTCTTATTACACACAGAAAATTGCCCTCTTTAATTGAAAAAATAAAATATTTGGAGTGCTGACAGTGAAAATGTAGTTCTATGTTTGGACAGTTTATGGGTTATGTTCATTATTTTATTCTTCCCAGACTCACACTCACTGATCACTTTTTTTTAATACTGCTATTTATAAGTGTTTTTTGCACTATAAGTGATGTTCTTTCATTTGATTGTTTACTTTCACTTCTCTGCCAACATCTGGCAATAATTCATTAATAATAATAATAATAATAATAATAATAATAATAATATCTTTATTTACTACATGTACAATGTATACATGCCTAGCTGACATCAGTGACGTACGCTGTACTACTATATAGAAAGCCCCTTTTGTTGTGGGGGTTTTATTAATGGATTTGGGAATGAACACACATGATGGATGGCTTGGTAACTTAAATTAGTTGTAAAATAAGGGAGAGCACTCAGAGCCTGGCACCTGACCTGTCTACTCTCTACTATACCTTGTCTTCATCTGAGCTGCAGTGCCCGGAGGGCATTCAAAGAGTTTGTGATGTCATGCTAGGTTAGCATTGAGTCACATAAGTGAGTGACGTAACGGTCAGTGATTCACGCAGGGCGGAAGTGAATGTAATGGTTACTGGTATGAGTAGCATGAGTACACATAAGTACACAGTACTGACACTTGTTATGCTGAGCTTTTTGGCAAATTAGGTCAGTTTTTTCCCAGGATGTGACCCACACCAGTCGACTAACACCCAGGTACCCATTATACTGATGGGTGAACACAGACAACCAGTGTAAGGAAACACGTTCGATGTTTCCACTCCTTCGCCAGGAATTGAACCCAGACCCTCACCATGTGAAGTGAAAGCTTCACACTATGCTGTTTGTCCATATATAACTCCCATTTATTACACACAATACACTTGGTATTGATTGCAAGATTGTTATCATCCACAATCACTGCACATCAGTACCCTTATCACTCGCAATATTACTTATGACAGTGGTTCAATACTCATCTGATTGTTTACTTCCACTTCTCTGCCGACATCTGGCAATAATTCGCTAGTGCTTTTCGACCATGTATAACACCCGTATATTACACCATTATACACTATGCACTTGAGATTTCCAAGATTGTTTTAATCCACAGTTTAAGATCACTATATCCTTGCACATCAGTAGCCTTATCACTTGCTATATTACTTACGACGATAGTTCAACAGTTGTCGGCCCTCCAAACCTCTCTATCAACTTATTTATTTATTTTTTATTTACTTCAGTTTTCAAGGTATTTTCACTATTTAGGTATCTCATTCTCCAGCACACTATAGTTCACAACCAAACTTTTTCACTGTATATGGGTAGACAACCCCTCAGTACGTATAGTGATAACACGACAGCACTGTGTGGAAACACCATGTTGGCCTACCCCACTGGTTCTTCTTCTAACACTTGTTACTCCTAATTTTATCTTATTTTCTTGTTTTGAACAAGAGTAGTTTTTTCCAAGCTCTTGGAATTATGTGCTAAGCCTTAATCTTATTGACTTCCTCTCATTGATCTATGTTCACTTTTAGTCACAAACAATTTCCTGTAGTGGCACCATAGGCAGTAACAGCCAATATTGGAGCACTGGTTGAGGCATAGCACTCTACACTTGACACTATAATCTATATTTTTCTCTTCAGTGCTGATATTTCCTTTTTGTGGGTTTTTAAATAAGTATATGTACTTTATACATTGCATATGCCTATTTTTTGCACTCTGTCTCCTCTGGGACGATCAGAAAAAAATGCTAATTTAATGGAGTTCAAAGACACATGATTGCTCCACGTCCATGTCAGCATGGGCTGACATGGACAGTGTATGTGATCATTGTGATTCACAAAATATTTTTAAGGTTCTTACTAAAGAGAATCAAGTGTTGATGACCAGGTTGGGCTTAGTATTGTCTTGGGCCTAAAATGCAGCTGCTCTATAAAGCAAGGGGCACCTGTATGGAAAATTGGTCATTATGCCCTTGTGCACTTGCAGATGCTGCTGTTCCCAATGTTTTCTTTCATTTAGCTCTTCACATTTATCTTCTTATTAATTTCATAGACACTTAGACTTGTATGTGATGTTATTGTTACACATCTGTAGATTATTATTGCACTTGACACATACTTTTTAATTGTAGAGAACAGTTGAAGCTTGAGCCTCGTGAGGACATTGATCTGCCCGGGGTGAACAAAACCAACTGGCAGAACAGCAAAAAAATCATAGAGCATCTCACGAATCAAGTCAACAAGTTACAGGATGAGAAAGTCACACTTCGCACAAAGGTTTGACATACTTCCAGGTCATTATTTCAGACAAAAGAAAGAGAAGAGAAAGGTGAAGAATTAAAAAGGGAAAAAAATTGTGGGTGGGCTCTTAAAACTTATTTTGTTGGTGGTGCCTGTGAAAGCTGCTTTTCTGTGCATTATCTGATAGTTTTACTACCCTTCAAAAGTAGTGTATTTTGTATTATTATTCAGTTATACCTACATAGTGTATGTTATGGTTGTGTGGTGTGACAGCCATTCCCAATCCTCCACACCAGTTCCATCCCATAGTTAATCACAAGTGCCGTCTTGGAGTTTGTTCCTCCTCACCCCTTCTGCATGCTCACCTCACCATGTACAGTAGGGCCCCGCTTTATGGCGTTTCGCTTTACGGCATTTTGCTAATACGGTCATTTCAAATTATGACCTAGACTCTCTATATGGCTTCCCCCACCTGACTTTCTAATTTGGTCACTGCACCCCACCCTGTTTGTTTGCATTCTCCATGAGCTCCGTAAGCACCATGTCTCTCCATTGTGTCTGGAAACTCCAAAATTTCAAGTGTTTTTAAAAGTTATTTCATATTTTATATATACAGTGGACCCCCGGTTCGCGAAGTCATCGGTATCCGATAAATCCGGTATCCAAAGCATTACATCGCAAAAAAATTGCCTCGGTTCCCATTACAAAACCCGGTATGTGATTCGATTCGTACGAGACGTGTCTACGTGTGGCCTGAACTGCCCCGTGTGTGCCAGTGTTTACAAGCCAGCCAGTGTGCGCGCATCTAAGGATACATTAGGTATATTCCATATTATCCATGTTTTTGGTGCTTGTTTCTGCAAAATAAGACACCATGGGCCCCAAGAAAGCTTCTAGTGCCAACCCATCAAGACCAAGGGTGCTAATGACTATTGAAATGAAGAAAGAGATAATTGCAAAGTATGAAAGTGGAGTGCGTGTGTCGGACCTGGCCAAGTTGTATAGTAAATCCCAATCAACCATCTCTACTATAGTGAGCAGGAAAATGACAATCAAGGAAGCTGTTCTTGCAAAAGGTGCAACTGTGATTACAAAACAGCGATTTCCCTTCTAAACATTAAAAACTTTGACACTCTCCCCTCCTCCCATCCCATCAATCATCACCAGATCTTCATTAAAGGTAAGTGTCAATTATTCTCGTGTGATTATTCTATTGTTATTATTGTTATTGTAATTATTCTATTGCATTAAACTTAATATTTCATGTGGTAAAATTTTTTTTTCATACTTTTGGGTGTCTTGCACGGATTAATTTGATTTCCATTATTTCTTATGGGGAAAATTGATTCGCTTTCCGATAATTTTGCTTTACGATGAGCTCTCAGGAACAGATTAATAATGTGAACCAGGGGTCCACTGTACTCTGATTATTATTATTATAATCAAAAAGAAGTGCTAAACCACAAGGGCAATACAGCGCTGCAGGGCAGGAAGGAAGCGAGGGTAGCAGGTGGCAAAAGGGAGATGGATGAGTAATAGGTTACAGAGAACAATGGGGCAGTGGATGGTGAAAGGGTAGAGGGCAGCAAGAGATTGAGGTAGAAAGGGCTGAGGGGAGTGCGAAAGGTATCATCATCAGAGTTTGTGGAGTAAATCAGTCGTTGTCAAGAAGTCAATGAGAGAGTCAGGATTAAAGGAGGGTCCATCACCAAGAAGGGAAGGTAAAGAGAGAGTAGTAGAGTGGAGACGACGTTGGAGGTAAATTCTGAGTGCTCGTTGATAGAGAGGGCAGTCTAGCAGAATGTGGCTAATCGATACTGGAACTTGACACTGCTCACAGAGAGGAGCAGGGTGCCTCACCACGAGATACCCATGAGTAAGACGAGTGTGGCCAATGCGAAGGCGGGAGAGAGTAGTCTCCCAACCTCGGCACTGATGACAAGAAGACGGCCAGTAATCTATGCTCGGTTTAATAGAATGAAGTTTGTTCCCGATTAAAGTTGACCAACATTGTTGCCAACGGGTGTGAAGGTGGGTAGCTATTACAGCAAAATAGTCTGGAAATGGAACACCTTATATGAAATTGGGTGGGTCACGTTACTGCTGACCGCGCAGCAGTGTCTGCCTGTTCATTGCCCTGTACATCAACATGACCAGGGACCCAACAAAAAACAATATCTTTATGCTTGGTAGAGATACGGCATAGCCAAAGTTGGATACAGAGAGCTAGGGGGTGAGGTGTATCAAATTTCCATATAGCCTGTAGAGCACTAAGGGAGTCTGAGACAACCACAAATGATGACACGGGCATTAGATGCGATACGAAAAAAGTGCTGCAAGATGGCATACAATTCAGCAGTAAAAATGCTAGCCGAAGATAGTAAATGCCCTCGCACGATGCTGTCCGGAAACACTGCTGTGAATCCGACGCTGTCAGAAGACTTAGAGCCATCTGTGTACACAGCGATGGCATGAGAATGAGAGTGGAAGTGGTCAAGAAAAAGAAAGCGGGAAGCCACCGTAGGCAGTTGGGCTTTCGAGCAAGGGAGTGAGAAAGAACAGACTCGAACAGCTGGAACTTCCCAGGGGGGTAGGGAAAAGTGAGATGCTACACGAACATATAAAGGTGGTAACTGAATGGAAGATGAGCGAATGTAGGCGAAGAGAGAAGGGACAGAGCAAACAGGGGCGGCGAACAAATAAAGAATGTCTACTAATATTGGTGACCATTCTATAAATGGAAGGATTGCGGAGATTGTGAGAGTGTACATAGTAGCGAAGGCAATGGGCATCATGGCGATCAGACAAGGATGGAACATTCACCTCTGCATAGAGGCTCTCAACATGGGAAGAGCGAAAAGCACCAAGGCATAAACATAATCCTTGGTGATGGATGGGGTTAAGGCTAGAGAGAGTAGCAGGAGAGGCTGCTGAATAGAACTGGTCCCCCATAATCGAGGTTTCGATTTAAAATGAGGGCTGAATGTAGGCGAAGCAGAGTTCGACGATCAGCTCCCCAGGAAAGATGAGCAAGGGTTTTAAGAAGGTTCAGCCGGCTGTGACAGGTTGCCTCTAGAAAAGTAATGTGAGGTTTCCAGGATAACCTACGGTCAAAGAGAAGGCCTAGAAACCTGACTGTATCACGTTCAGGGATACAGGAGCCATAGAGGTACAAAGGATGATCGGAGATGACAGAGTTTCTAGTGAAAGTAATTTGGTGAGTTTTGGTACTGGAAAATTTAAACCCATGCGTGGTGGCCCAATTGGAAACACGGTCGACCGCATGCTGGAGAGAAACTGTAATGAGGTGACAGTCAGCGCCTGTACAAGCAATAGCGAAGACATCAACATAGAGTGATGACCAAATATTGGGTGGAAGAACAGAGGCCAAATCATTTATAGCAAGGAGAAAAAGTGTTGTGCTCAGAACACATCCCTGAGGGACACCTTCAGCTTGGACAAAGTCTGGGGAGAGCACATTATTGACCCGAACACGGAAATGTCTGTCAGTTAAAAAGTTCTTAAGGAAGGATGGTAGATTGCCTCGGAGGCCTAAGGAGTGAGCTTGGGCCAAAATATTATACCTCCAAGTTGTGTCATATGCCTTCTCAAGGTCAAAAAATATGGCAATAACTGAGTGATTATTCACAAAGGCATTACACACATATGTATCCAGGCATAGTAAGGGGTCTATGGTAGATCAGCCCTTATGAAAGCCATATTGACTGGTGGAGAGACTGTTGTGTGTCTCTAAATACCACATTAAACGTTGATTTACCAGACGTTCCATCATTTTGCAAACTGCACTAGTAAGAGCAATGGGACGATAGTGGGAGGCATCATGTCCCGTAGTACCCGGCTTGTGGAAAGGGAGAACAATGGCAGATTTCCACAGCTGGGGAAGAACTCCTTGTGACCAAATAAGATTGAAGAGGTGTAAGAGGACTACAAGGGCTGACTGATGTAAATGTTGTAACATCCGAATATGAATGTTGTCAGGCCCAGCTACTGATCGGCAAGCTGAGAGTGTTGCCTCCAGTTCCCGAAGTGTAAAAGGCACATTATACTGTTCTTCTCTGAGAGAAGAAAAGTCCAAGGGTACTAACTCTCTGGCAGACTTTGAGGAAAGAAACGAGGGGCATAGATGGAGCCCCCGGGAAATATGGACCAGATGAGTGCCAGTTTCAGTGGCAACGAAGAGGGTTTGCTATATCAACATTGGCGACCCGTAGAACAGGAACCGGGTCAGGAGAGTATTTACCACTCAATTTCCCCACTTTTTTCCAGACTGTACTCATAGAGGAAGCAGAGGTGATAATGGAAACATAATCTCACCAGCAAGTGCATTTAGCCCCACAGATGACACGGCGAACGACTGCACGCTTCTGCTTAAAATCAGGAAGTCTCTCATTGGTTCTATTGTACCGGTACCTGCCCCATGCAGCGTGTTTCCAACGTACTGCACGAGCACAAGCAGGAGACCACCAAGGCACGCACTTCTGAGAATGCCTGCTTGAGGTTTGGGGTATAGAATGAGAAGCTGTGGTTAAAACTGATGTCGAGAAGAGGTGTAGGAGCTCATCAATGGAGGATGAAGAAGGAACCTCACTAAAAGCAGTGAGTTGCGAGTATAGGTCCCAATTTGCCTTATCAAATTGCCAGCGAGGGCTATGGAAAGGTGGTGAATATGAAGGAGCAGTAAGAATGATTGGAAAATGATTGCTGTCATGTAAGTCAGGTAGAACAGACCAGGCGAAGTCTAGTGCAGTGGAGGAAGAGCAGACCGATAGATTGATGCAAGAGAGAGTATGAGTACAAGGATCAAAATGGGTGGGAGAACCCATATTTAAAACATGGAGGGGGTGAAAGGCGAGAAAAGCCCCCAACTGAATGCCACGTGAGTCACAATGAGACCCCCTCTAGAAGAAATGGTGGGCATTAAAATCGCCAAGTAACAGAGGTGGTGGGGTGGTAAGGATGAAACAAGAAAGGCAAAATCTGGGATAGAAAATGCCAGAGAAGGAGAGAGATATAAA